TTTTTTTTTTTTTTTTTTTTTTTTTAAAACTAGGGATTGAACTCAGGCCCTTGCGCTTGCCAGGGAAGCGCTTATTCCACTGAGCCATCTCCTCGGCCCTAATTCATTTATTCTTGAATGTTAAAGCAACCTAAAATCCTGAGATCAATCCTACTTTGCCATGGTGTCTTATTTATATATTGCCACTAATTATTTTTCTGTTTTGTGTCTATTTTTTTAAAAAAAATTTTATTAGTATATGTTTATAATAGATAATGAATACATTCTTGATAGGAAATTGGTCCCTTTAACTCACGTATGCATGTATATGTATACAGACATACATGTATACATCTATATGGTATGTAGGCATAGACATGTGTCTATGTTACATAAATGTACATAAATTATATATATATATATATATAAATAGATAATATTTGTATTTTGTAATGTTTGTCATATTTGAATGTTATAAAATACATTGTTAAATGATTCTTTTTTGATCTGTGTTTTTGAAGTTTTTTTTAACACTAATATTAACTCTTTCTGGCCTATATAGTTTTCTTTTTTTGTTTTTGTTTTTGTTTTAACATATTTATTACAGGGTCTACAGGGTCTCACTGCACAGATCAGAGTCAGAGTGATCCTCCTGCTTTCAGCCTCTCAAATGCTGGGATAACAGGCACATGCCACTTCACCCAGTCTCAGTACACCCTGGGCACAGGGCCAGCAGGGAGCACTGGGGATTGAACTCTGGTCCCTGCGTCTGCCTAAGCAGGCACTTTAATCTGCTGAGCTGTCTGGCCAGCCCTTGGCATATTTGATAGGATTTATGAGTGAAACCACCAGGAAATACTTTTTTCCTCTGGAAGGAGAAGACTTTTCACAAGAAATTCAATTTTTTAAGAAATAGATGTAATGCTATCTATATTACTTGTTTCTTATGTCTTTGCCAAACTGTTTTTTAAGGAATTTGTCCATAAAGTACCTAGATTTTTGAGAGTTACTAATTAAAGTGGTCAATTATAGAATACTTTTCACATCCCTGATGATGATTATTTAAATAATTATTTTCTATGTACAGAGTCACATAAATTATATATATTACTTGCATACTAGTAAAATACTAGGGTTGCTTAAAATATTTATTAATCCACGCCATTATCCATTATTATTTGACATTTTAAAATTAATCAATAGCATTTCTTCTTACTATTTATTTTAAATACTATTTCATTTTTGTTATTTTCTTTTTTCATACTTGAGCCTTTTTACCCCTATTGCTTATTGCCTCTCCTTGTATTCTGTGGACTCTTAAAATCAAGCCTTCTAACAACTATATTCATCTTTTTAAAGATGCAAAATAGTACAAGAGTTAAGAAATATGGTATCCTTTGTGCTGCTGTTGTTGCTGTTAAAAACAACATCTTCGTAGGCATCTTTGTAGCAAAGCCACTGGTGACAACAGATACTACGTCACATATTGCTGTACAGATTATATTAGTCCCATTTTGTCACCCAGAGCAAATTAAAGGTAGACATCCAAAGAATATCAAGAAACATAAACCCGGTGACATTGGGAATCACTGCAATGAAAGGATCCCTTTGTGAGCAGTGGATCTCCCCCCCCCCCAATGTATTTGGTACAGGGGCTGCAGGGTCTCACTATATAGATTGGACTCACAGTGATTCTCCTGCTTTCATCCTCCCAGGCATTGGGATTGCAGGCATGTGCCACCAGGCTCAGTCTCAATAGCCATCTCAGTGTGCCCCAGGGTTGGGGCCAGTACAGTGCACCAGGGATCGACCCCCAGCCCTCTGCTCTCTACCTAAGCAGGCGCTTTAGTCCGCTGAGCTATCTGGCTGGCCCGTTGTGGCAGTGTTTTCTTAGTACTACTGAAAGTCTTAAAGAAGTGTGCTACTTTAAACCTTGGGTAAAGCCTGTGTTTGTGGCTCAGTGGTGGCACCCTTGCTCAGCACAGGAGGTGGAGTGAGTTCAGTCCTTGACACTGCAGAATAAAAATTAAATAAAATACTGTCAGTTCACTCAATCCTCCCAAATTATTTAGCAAATAAACTATATTAGTAATGTAAATGCTTAGGACATCCTGTCTTGTCTAAATTAATATCGTAAAGTTTATTTGTGCTGAATTATTGTTAGTGCCTTTTCTTAATAAAATAACATTTGACCAAGTTTAAAACTCCATGAAAACACCCCAATTTAACCAAAGAACTGTACATATAAGGTGTCGTAAGTAGACTGTTAAGTAGGATTCTCCTAGAGGGATGAGGAAGCACACAGTTCTTTTAAGTCTTCATAATTGGGTTTAGCTTCTGCTCTGAAGTAAATGTTTTGTTTGAAACTTGTTTAAAGCATTTTGCATCTCTCTTTTGTTAAAACAATAAGTATTTGGCTCTACTTTCAGCTGTATCATTTTTCTTGTATTTTAGATAAATCGATAGAGAACCTGTATTGTACTAGTGGAAATCATTCAAATAACTAAAAATCAGAGTATACTCATTTGAAAGATCACAAAACTGAGGCCTAAACAGTTTAAGGAACCCCCAGCTTCTCTTCCTACTGCAATTTTGTTCCATTTATTGAATGCCTACTTATACTTGTAAAAATAATTACTCTTGCAGTCTTCATCATGTTGTAACAATGACTTGCCTTTACTCCTGGTTTTTCAGTGTAGACCACTGAAGTAAAGAGTGTGAGCTGATAGCTGCGAGATAGAGCCTTAGAACTCTATGGTGTGATTCCTAACTACTTTTGGGTCATATCTTACTGTCTTATTGTTCGATTGTTTTGATACTCTAAAATTAGTTCCACTTTTACTTTCTAAAGTCTCTCCAAAAAAATAACAGGATGCAAGTCATTTCCAGAGAGGTAAATGAGCTTCCTTGCTTACAGTTTTATAAAACAAGCTGTATGTGTTCTTCCTCAGAGGAATGCTTCTAATGTGGCCTTAAGTACATCCGAACATTAACCATGATCTTTGCTTGTCATGAGGATGAGGTCATTATTTCCACTGCTTCTTTATATTAGATCAGACTGTATAAAACTTCCAATTTATGACATAAAGTAAGTTTCCTAAAGGAAATTTTTCATTTACTAGAGCATCACAGATTGGGCTGAGGCCAGCACAGTGTCCCGGGGTTGTGGCTCCCATGTCTGTCCGTTCTGGCTGGTGTCCTATGCCTTGTGGGAGGCTGCCCCTTAGATAGTGCCCCTGGCTTGCATCACTGCAGCCAGGCGAAGTCAGAGACCAGGGCTCCTTTGTCTCCTTAGGACTTGCAACATTTTCTTCAGAACCTTTCTCCATCAGAGTGCTTTCTTTCATCTTTATTTTATTTTCATTTCATTGGCCAGGCTTACATTTTATGATCTATCCTAAAGTAAAACCTGAGAAAGAAAATAAGTGCTGTGCTACGATGAGCTCAGAATTGCCATTTGCGGTAGAACGGTTCGAGAGGACTTTTCCTTTACTACCAAGACACTTAGTACTTTCTGTATTAAAGATAATGTAGTCAAATGGGGAATGGTGTGGGTGTGGCAAAAACAGCTCAAGCCTCTTGGTTAGTGTAATTTGTGGTGGATGTGTTGTTTTTGATTAGTTACTAACATTTTGAACTGTAACTTTGAGGAGACGAGCTCAGTAGTTTTCAGCTGCCTCACAGAGAGAAACTGAAGAGAAATCAGACATAGCACAATTTGACAACGAATTATTTTCAGTTTTCTCAAAGGAAAATGGTGGAGACAAATACCCATAGTCATGCTCAGAAACACATTTAAACAGAGCTTTACAAGACAGAATAATAGATGGAAACAATCTGTCCATGCTATTATGTCCAATTCCTACTAAACAATGAAATTATTACTATTATTTATAATGATGTGTACTAGAAGACATTTTAACAATGATAACGGCTTCTAAAAGCCAGTACTTCTGTCATTTCAAGTCTAGTCTAGTAATTCCTGTCAAGTATGTAATTTAAAAAGACCTATATTTGCTTTTTGGTTACTTCTATTCTGCTTCATTGAATTTAATATTATACTGTATGTGTTCATTACATTTTGTACCCAAAGTTACTTGGCCATAAAATACTTTCTGGCTGTTAACATCAGCATATTAGAATCAGAAAGCAGATTTGATACAACTGTTTAAATAAAAACCCTAATTAAGAAGGTCTTATTCAAATTGTTATCAATTTGAAAGTCATTGTAATTCCTGAAGCACTACATAAGTTGTTAAGTATAATGCGTCATTAGAATAAATGCTGGTTATTCCAAGTAGAAGATTGGAATATTTAAGTACTGCTTTAGAAGGAGATTTCTATCTTAAGATGGTCAATGCATTGTTCCTTGTAGAA